ACTGTAGCCCTTATAAACACAGTTCATGAAGCTCGTACAGCCTTTGAGTACTGCTCAAGCCACCTTGAAGACGAATCATCATAGCTTGTCGAGACTCGACTAGAAACCCAGTACTTATATCTGAATTCCGGTACATATATTTTTTTAACTTGCTGGACACTGATGCTACGAGTGTCATGCTAGGGACATAGAGTGCGAGGAGGGCTCATGGTTCCAAATCCTTCTTGGAAGTTTTCGTGTTGTATCACTGTTATATCTAACTGCTGTTTCCACTCCAGTGCCTGGTGCTAGAAAGAGCNCTAACAATAAGTTTGAGAGTGAATCAGCCGACATGTGAAGCCAAAACGCCGGCGCAGGCACAATATCTAAGACAGAACAGGGATACGACGTGGGAAAAATTCAGACACTTGTACCCCTTCTAACAACTTCATCTCTGACATGATGGCAAGGTGACAGATGGTTCGACAAGGTTCAGTAGTGTCCCCTCTGTAAAAATAGAGGACTCCGATAGGGGAGTGAAACTTCTCGTCCCAAAGTTAACGTTGCAGTGGAAAGGTTGTCCCCAAAAGGTCTCCAAGAAGAACGGAATCTGGTCGCGCATGCTGAAAATGTCTACCGTTCGCATACTAATTTCTTTTGAGAAGAACGGGTTATATTGTTCGGAGTGTAAGATACTGTTTCCATAATTGACCCTGATAATCGCTCACGTGTTCTTCGTACACACCAGACCAATACCGTCGAACTCGCGTACGGTGGCACCAGAATTCAGTTCGAAAATCTAGCTTCCCATAGTTAAATGTGCTAAGCAAAGCTAATTACGTCCAACGTACAGAAACTTTACGTCTGTAAGGTGATAAACGCCATCCGAATGAGCTTTAATTAAACGAGACATGATTACCATATTATTCTGCTTGTTCCACGACCCTCGAAATCTGACGCAGTGCAATCGGGGGTGCTTTGCCCTCCCACCTTTCGAGGTCGTATTGGTGACGGCTACAACTTTAATGAAGCAGAAGCGATTACCCTTCGTAACGAAGA